AATTAAAAAAGTGCACTTTCCTTTTTTCCTTTTAATTGTCCACGCACATTTATGACCGTTTTTTAGTTTGTTACCGCTACCATAAAAATCAAATAACCTTTTGTTTATAACTTTTTTTTTTTTAATTCTGACAATCATAAAAAAAGTCATCAATGTTTTTTCCAAGGAATTTTGAGCATATCTCGAGCAAATTTTTGAAATTCATACCTTTACTTAATTTTGAATAAAAGCGAAACGCATACATTGATTTTCACGATGTATGTCTCATTTGGTTCATAGGTTATGTGACTTTACGTGACACTTTTTTCCGTTTTGGATTTTTTATGAATTATGAATTTTAGGCAAAAATAATTTTTTTTTCTTCATACATTTATTTTTACCGGCAAAACTGTTGAGTATATAGAAAAACGAAACGCCGGGCCACGTATAACTTGTTTTTGACCGATATAACATTTCCCGTTGGTTTCATCCCATCCCGATTTTGACTGTCGCATAGTGTTACCAGTTCGGGGAAGAACCAATGCTAAGCAAATTTTCGTGATAAGGTTAAAAAGTTGTAAGCGTGAAAACACAGTTTTTCATCTTTATATGTAAGAAGATAAATTATATTACATTTTTATTCGGAAATATNAACCTTGTATTATTGAATCATGACCTTGTATAAATTCGAGAGAGGCAGCTCCACTCTAAAACAGAGGTGAACACAAGGCGAATCTACACAAAGTGGTGTTATAGGATCCGTTGATTTCACGGCGAATTTTTACCTTTTGTCAAAATGATGTTTGTTGTAATTCTGCTTTTTACTCATTGTCAATGTGCGTATAATTGGTTGTTGTAATTTTTGTTTTTGTTCTGTCAACACCACCTTCCCTGCAGAAAAAAATTATCAATTGATAAAAAATAACCTAGTTATAGTTAGCTTTTAGTTAGTTTTTGCGGGATTTCTATAAAATATATAACTTGTAGTTAGCTACAAGAAGCTAACTTGAAACAAGTGGACAAGTAATGCAGGAGTAAAGCTCGAGATTGTTTTCTTTAAACGCGTTTCTATTTAAATACCCTGCACTTCGCAAATGCTTTTTCGAACTGAGGGCAAATAAAAGGAAGATGGAAATTTCATATTATCATTTTGAAGTTATGTCTGACGGAGTTCGAATATGGGACCTACGGCAGAATATGTAAACAAATATGAAATGTAATAAAAAAAGAAAAATGAAAGAATCAATAAAAATAAAAATATTTTGTTTTTCCTATTGATATTTTATGTCCAAAAGTAGTTAGTTACAAGTTAATTACATCGAATGCAGAGGTAACCACCCTTGACTATTTCGCGGCCATCGCCGTAGAAATTTAGTTAGCTTTCGTCAAAGAAAATATACAGATAATAGTGACTTTTAGCTCCTTCCTAATCAACTTAAAGGTAGCTTATAGCTAGATACATTTACTGCAGGGTTGTATAAATTCGCCTTGGGTGGTCAGCTTCGGCAGAGCATTTTTATAGTGTGCGTGCAATTGATGTCACTGTGTGCGTGCGAACAGATCGCCCTACAAGAACAGTGATAGTCATTTGATTAATCATGTGTAACTCAATGGTGATGGAAATGTCCATCAAACACTCCCATCACGTTTTTAAGACCAATATGCAAAAAATGATGAAAACAAATGTATACATGTGATATTTTATCTTTTTTCACCTTATGACCTTATTTAATGGTATCTTTTTAACCAACGCAAAATTTACAAATGTGTTAGTAAGATAAATGAGAATGTGTTAGTTCCCATTATCCAATTCTTGCAGGGCGTGCAGTTGAATGAAGTTTTCGCTGCCTTCCCAAACAGAGCGTATATGTATACGCGAATACGACGCGACGACGCCCGCCGGGAAGACGCTGCCCAGGTCTGTTCTAAAACATTCTGCAGGAATGGCTTGCAGAGTGCCTTTAGCCTTATCCTTGCGAGGGTTGGACAGTCGCACAGGCACTTTTAACTTCCTGAGCGAGGAGCCCATGTTCACCGCGTGGGATACATTCAGTACGGAGCCGCACCTTGCTAGTTCGTCCGCTGCATGGTTAATATAAATGTCCCTATGTCCCAGGACCCATATTAGGGTAATTTCGTATTGATCAGATACATAGGCCAGTTCTCTCCTACAGTCTTCCACTAGTTGAGATCTAACAGAGGTAGAAGAGAGTGCCTCAACAGAAATTTTTTGCCAAGAGATTTCGCACTAAATTTAAATGGTTTTATTTGCATTTATTGTAAAATATACTAAAATATCCGCAAGAAATATGCTAAATCAGGTATTTTTGCAAAATATGCAACATCATGCAAAAATTATTAATTAAATAAAACATTCAATTAAAGTTAATTTCCACTGAAATGAGTTTGGTGAAACGCAGCCTTAATCCCGTTCTCATAGGAAGAAGTAGTATAGTACAAGTGAAATTTTCGTAAGGAATATCTCTAGAAGTATTTTAAGTAGGGCACCGAAACTGTTTGTTAGTTTTGTTAATGTTAGTAATACCGGCTGAGTGGTTAGAGGTGTATACTAGTATCCATCATATTACCATAAAAAGGCCTACCATGGGAGAGATTTTTTATAAGTCCTAAGTACCTTAACTCGCTTAAAAATATTCAGCTTTAGTAAAGTGAGAGCAAATATAAAATAGTATAATATGTTTAACTTAATTTGCATAAAAACGTGGGGTAAAACCCGCCGGTATAATCCAGTAACTAATATATTTTTTCTTTTGTTTCAGATATTCGAAGTAAACGCCCTATAATTTGCAATACTAAAACGTGTGCGTGAAAGAAGTTTTAATCTACGAAAAATAATAAATTATCATCCGGTATGCAACTAACGCATATAAAATTATAAAATTATCGTCGCAAATTTAAAAGGCTATTATTTTTTTATTTAATAATAGAGAATAAATATGTGAATAACATTAAAAACAACGTTGCGGTAAGAATGAGAATCAAAGAAAGTGTATTCTTATTTGTTTCATATTGTTTGTGTTTTTAATAAACGAAAATCCTGAATGCCTTCTAACTTTAAGGAAAAATCGAACACAATAACTTACGAGCCAATAATCATACAAATCTAGTATTAATTGCCTTCGAACAAGGTAAAACTTACCCTCGATCAGTAAACCAATTCTAATCTAAGGTAATTATTTTACAAAAATGGCAATGCTAGAGGCCCGGCCTTATAGGCCTTTCAAATCGAGCGAAGAATACTTGGAGGCCATGAAAGAGGACTTGGCCGAATGGTTGAGTACACTCTATCCGAATTTGAATATTAATGCCGAGAATTTTATGGACCGCTTAGACACAGGAGTAGCATTATGCAAGGTAAGTTTGAGAGAATTTCAGTTACTAGTACCGCCCAGTTGTCGAAATTCGATATCTTTTTTCATACACTTTTGAATTTTACCTGTTACCAATATTAACTCCTTTATGCGAATTACTATTTTGAATTATGAATGTTAATACCGGATTGGTTAATGCTAATTCTACCAAGCCTCCTCCAAATTTCTTCAGTCTTTCTTTTGTCTGAGAGCATCTTGGACGTTAAAAGCTAAATTGCCCACATCTACATAAACTCTTTCTTTTTTCATCAGAATCGTTAACGGTTGAGAAAGTATCTTGAGGATTTACAACAGAAGATTTTCTCTAATGGCGGTTTCACGCGGGTTTTGGTCAAGACTGGGCCAAGGCCCAATATTTTTCCATCATACGACTGGGCTACAAAGTTACACCAAATTTTATGTTACTAATATGTGTTCTAAAAGTGAAAAAAATTTGATCATAAATATGATTTTTTAGGATAGCTCTCAATCCCTGCGCCAAATGTCGGAAGACAAACACACTGATCCTTCTAAAACTTTTGCGCAAAACAACAATCATTCAATGCGATTTTAAAATCTGGGAGAAAATGGTTCCCAATTGAATGTACACGCCCTCTTTTCCAAAATCTACTACTTTTCGACGTAAGTACGGTATCGATAACATATGTTGCTGTGTCCAATTTCAGGCCGTTAGCATAAGTGGTTCCAGAGATAAGCGATATGAGAGTTTCAGTTTGTATGGGAAGTGCCAAGCCCACTTTCCCAGTACCTATCTTTTTTCACCGTAAGTAGGGTATTTACAATCTATCCATCTGTGCTAAGTTTCATTTCCCCAGCATAATTGGTTTTAGAGATATAGTGGTTTTCACATTTTAGTCTATATGTCGGATGCCACGCCCCCTATGTATCGGGATTAACATTTTTGGATTAGAGGAAGTTATATCCTTTAAATCGGTATATGTTTCATTGAAATCGAGCCAACGGTGCTTTCAAAAAATGGATTGCAAAATTTTCTTNGTCGGAAGACAAACACACTGATCCTTCTAAAACTTTTGCGCAAAACAACAATCATTCAATGCGATTTTAAAATCTGGGAGAAAATGGTTCCCAATTGAATGTACACGGCCTCTTTTCCAAAATCTACTACTTTTCGACGTAAGTACGCTATCGATAACATATGTTGCTGTGTCCAATTTCAGGCCGTTAGCATAAGTGGTTCCAGAGATAAGCGATATGAGAGTTTCAGTTTGTATGGGAAGTGCCAAGCCCACTTTCCCAGTACCTATCTTTTTTCACCGTAAGTAGGGTATTTATAATCTATCCATCTGTGCTAAGTTTCATTTCCCCAGCATAATTGGTTTTAGAGATATAGTGGTTTTCACATTTTAGTCTATATGTCGGATGCCACGCCCCCTATGTATCGGGATTAACATTTTTGGATTAGAGGAAGTTATATCCTTTAAATCGGTATATGTTTCATTGAAATCGAGCCAACGGTGCTTTCAAAAAATGGATTGCAAAATTTTCTTGTGCCGTTATACATACACCGTATATACACCATATTATACACCATATTTGTATACATACATAAGAACTTTGGAGTATGTAGGTATTTATGACTGCTAATAGTAAAAAGGAAAATACGCAGTTTTCTAAGTTCATCAGAAGAAGGAGACTTTTAAAAGTTTATAAATAAGTATGATAGCGACTTTTGCAAGAGTAGTTAACATTTGATGGTATTTTTTCTGAATACTGAAAGATTTTGCATTATGTTGTTAGTGGACATGAAACTACTTTAAATACTGGTACGTTACCCATCAAAAAACTAAAAATCGAAAAAAATTTTACATAGTGCACTTTGCAAGTGGACTACTCATATTTACTGTACTCTCTTGTTTTTCCCTACTATCAAACTTCAAAAACTTTAGAAAAGCGAAACTCGTCTTACAGTATACATACATACTTCAGCTTGGCCAAACTTGAAAGCTTGCATAATTCCAAAAGCCGTTTCTTCAATACATTTTTTCCAAAATCTAAATGCATTTTGAGCAAAAAGAATAGAACATAGACAAGCAATTTCTACGCAAAAAACAAAACCGACTTTGATTCTCATATAAAAATTTATGAGTACCGTTAATTGTATCCAATGGAACCACCTCGGAGACACTATCTTTCTGATAGAAACAGAAAATATATCACCATTTGCACCTCAGATTTTAGGGTAACTGACTGGCATAACTTCCATGGGCCCATGGAAGTTATTTCAGACTTAATTTCCACGAAGATCAGACATAACTTCCATGGAATTTATGCCATGACATAACTTCCAGAAGATTTCCACGAAATTACCATGTCATGACTTAACTTACACAATAATTAGATCGCCAGATACGAGCGCTCACTGGTCGGCGCTCCCCTGCCTGCCGATCCAATTACAGTGAAACCTCCCTTGGGCGGACACTCACCGTCAGTCATTTTTTGTCCGCCCAAGAGAGGTGTCCTCTTAATGAAGGGGAAGGCTGTTTTAGAACTTTTTAATGTTTTAATTAATTGAATAGTCAATATTTCTTATTTGAATAAAAGATATTGATATTACATCGTTCAAACAAAAATGTGCATGTATTTTTTCAAAAGTGCACATTTCATTTATGTGCGTAAGTACATATTAAGTAATAACAAAATAAAAATAAATATTACATTTTAGTCCATAAACTACATAAAATCATAGATTCATTACATAAAAAACTGGGAAATTGTCGATTGACGTAAGTTTTATTTTTAAATTTTTTTCAGTGTCAGTACCTTTTTCATCAATAGTTTTCATGTTTTTATCAGTCTCCAAGGGTTTCTGACAATTCAAATAACGAACCTAAACCACTGCGCAAACCAAACTAAATGTGTGCATAACAATCACATTTTGTGCGGGAAGTCCCCTTTTTCCATTTAGTAGTCCGCCTATGAGGAGTTCGCGTCCGCTCAACGGAGGTTTTTGTTTGATTTGTTATGAAAAGAAATCTTAATGTCCGTTGATAAGAGGTTCGCGTCCGCCCAATAGAGTTTTTGTGTCAATTTTATGCAAAATAACTGTCCGCGTCCGGCCAAGAGAGTGTCCGCTTAAGAGAGAGTAATTTGTTCCGAAATTTATACTTAAAACTTGGTATAGGAAAAAATGTCCGCCCAAGGGAGATGTCCGTCTAATAGAGGGGTCCGTTAGGAGAGGTTTCACTGTATTACTATTTAGGAGCATAAATCAATTACGGTTTCAGTTAAACCATGAAAATTTATTTAATTCATTTATATAACTTTACCTGCATAGATACATATACTAAGGAGAAATTATAATATCGTTCGAACAATAGATACTTTGAATATTTACTTGACATTCACGGCAATTTTCAATCTGTGAGGGATTGTGACAGATTTCGCATAAGATTACATGACCACAGTTTCACAGTTTATACAGGTTTTAAGATTTCCAGAGTTGAGAACTCCTTGAGGATTGTCAGAAGAATTTTCCTTAGAAAACTCTATCAAGTCATCATCTACTTCGTCCTCAATTTCAATGTCAAATTCGTATTCTTCAACGTTTTCTAAGAAGTTTTCTGGATTACCTTTTTTAAAGCCACCTTCGATATTTATTAGGTCCTCTAACAATACCTTGGAGGCCTTATCGATTACAGAATCCCGCCGAAAAGAATTCTAGACCGGTGGCTGATAACTATCATTCGTAAGAGTTGGGTAGAAATGTCATCCTCTTCTAAGCATAGAAGCGAAAGAAAACGGGAGAAATTACCGTTAACTAATAGGAAAACGTTTTCCCCATACTAGTGGTGGGAAACTATAGATGGTGCATCACTAAAAAATGTTGCGAAACTGTACAGAAGATGCAAAAGGATTTTAAATGTTAAAACGTAGAAACATTTCGACGTCAATTCTGTCATTTGGGTATTGATTTTATTTGAATTCAAAATACAACTTAACTTTTAACTGAAATTGTGGGATTGATTGACACTCTAAATACGATAGACATACAAATATTCTCATTAGCGAAGAATGAGGCAAACTATCGCGACTGTCGATAGTGCTCCTCTATCGACAATGGGTAGTGGCCGAAAAACCATCGCCAACTATCAATGGTGTCCACTATCGATAATTTGCCACCACCACTACCCAATACAGCATCAGTAGCAAAAATCAATCGGTGGTAGTAATTTCACGACATAACTTCCATATTGCTCATTTACATACATATATACATATTGCTTATTTACTTCAATAGTATAATCACTTCCAATATGATTTTTCCATATTTTCCTTGAGGGATGTTTAAAGGCAGTGTCACACGATTGGTACATTTGTACAGATTTGTACATATTTTATATTGGGCTATTGGTACCAAATAAAAAAATTGGGCCGACATTTTTTTTGTAGTCACACGATGGGTACAATACAGCGAACTTCTATTGAAATATTTCAACAAATTGTTTTTCATGATTAGGATAAAGAAATATATTTGTGCATTCACACGATTTGGATATGCTTTGCACCAAATTTTTGGACAAATGCCCAAACGAGTGACACTGTCTTAAGAGTATTCCTAACATTAACAGAAAAAATTGGCGTATTTTTTGTGGGGCTACTTGACCTCTTGTGCAATGGTAAGAATTTTCAAATTGTTCTGCAATGTCATTGACTTGACTTACCTTGATGACTTGAACTTTTTACGAGTTTTGAAATTTTTTAATACTTAACGGTTCTTTGTTATATTTGATTGCAATTATCAATTTCCTTGCTGCAGACTTTTTACGTTTAGTTGGAGGGACTACACTTTGGGACAGTCATTTTAGAGCCCAGACCTTAGTATTCATTCATAAATGGGCTGGGACTATCCGTATACAAATGCATCTACATATGTATGTCTTTGTACAAGTTTTGAGATATTGGTTGATGCGTGTCTTCAAATTAATTACTCAAGAAAAATTAAATTTGCCTTTCTTTAAACTT